GGGCGACCCGAACTCCGTATACGGATTTGAACCTGTGCAAGAGGCAAGACAAAAGGAAAAGCCGAGCTAGCCAAATCTGAGCGAAAATTCATTGGGTACGGAAGAGCTCACCCCACAGACGGAGCCTGATGAGAACCGCTCGAAGTTGTGGCTACAGGCTTGAATGGGCGAGGGGTTGCGGTCGAGATTCTGGAGAAAATAATTGTGGGAGTGCCACCTCACTGGGTACGACAGTGCAATGCCATCATCGCACTGACATGCTTCGGTTTATGGACAGCCCTGTAACGGTCGTCAAGGGTCGGAGAAAGGATGCGCAGTTCCGTGGCAGCTGGTTCTCAGTGAGACGGAGGTTGACACAACAACACCCACGCCTACCGAATATATCCCTACCGCCAACCTCAATCCTTCCACTTGTCGTTCCGGACCACGCGCCTGTTTCCTTCAGCACTTAGCTGATTACGAAACTTGAAGTAAGCAACTTTTGACTCGTTACTTTAGTTATTTGAACGTTTTCCCATTTCATGGTCAACGCTCTAGTGGGGGAGGTGTGTGGCGTTTTGTACCTTTATTTACTTCCATTAAAACACTACGTATTCCATCAATTGCATAATCGTTTTCCACTTGCTTTGATCCCTCCTCTGATTTCGCTCGCGCTTGCAGCGGTCATTCGCGAGTCTCATGTACTAACTCTGGTATCAAAACATTTCAGACCATCTTCGAAATCTATTATACGTGGGAACTGTTCAGAAGAAGAATTCTAGACCAACATAATTGGATTATTGTTTATTCGCTGACCTGGGCCAACGACGAACTATTTTAAGGAGAACAGTTGTTGGTGAGTCTGTACCATCGGACCTACTTAATTTTGTATGCGTAGCCTGGCGTTATTATTTTCATTTCTCTGCCACACACTCACCACAGATTTGGTGAGCTCGAGTATTTCTGGATATTTTTTGAAAGCTTTTCCTTTCAAGTCGTCGTAATTTTGTTTCTTTTACCCGGTAGTTATGGAGGCACACTTTGATTCAACGGATTTAGTCGTGAATGCGATCAGGATAAGTTCACCAGAGTACAATCCACGCAACCCCAGGATATGGTTCCACCAGGTAGAGGCCGTTTTTACCACCCGACGCATTACTTCCCAAGCCACGCGATTTTCCTATGTTGTCCAGTTGTAGCAACAGAAGTGGAAGATCTGTTGGAAGATATTCCCAAAGAAAATCCGGATGACGCTCTTCGAGCGGCCGTCATATGTAGGACAGGAAAGTCAGAAAACAAAATGTTACGGGATCTATTCACCACTGTCGAACTTGGGGACAGATCGCCAGCACAACTGCTTCGCCACATGCGCAGTCTCCTCTGCGGCCGTAAGCTAGCGGTGGAAATCATGGCCCAACTATGGCTCGACAAACTTCTACGCTCCATGTCCCGCGTCATCAGCGCTTTCGTTGATGACCGCAGCCTGGGTCAGTTGGACC